GTAAAAAACCTGCATGTTCTGCACATGTATTCCAGAACTAAAAGTATAATAATAATGAAAAAAGAAATACTAATAAAATAGAACACAGCATAAAGCAGTGATTCTCAAACACATTGAGCATCAGTATTACCCTTGAATATTTAAAATACATATACATATGAAATCTTAGTCTCTAAGATTTCTAGGTTTGGGATTGGGTCCCTGGGCCTGTGTTAAGTTTAGAAACTTCTACAGATAGTTTGGATGTATAGGAAAGTTTAAGAATTGCTGAACTAAAAGTCAAATAAACTGAATATCCTGTGATTTAGAGGGATTTATCATTTATTTCAGTATCCAAGTACTTGCATTAGAGAGTGGATAGAAGGGATTTGCAGCCTTGTAAATAATTAGAAATTCAGACATTTTGAGATGGAGAACTGCTGAAGATTTTATTCTGACTTGAAAGAAATTTTCTAATTAGAAATTTCTGGGTGAGAACAAAGACATGGAACAATATTCCTAAGCCTGAGGAGGATCGAGTTTGACTCCAGGCCTAACACTTACTAGGTCTATGACCTTGGGTGAGTAATTTAAATTCTCTGTATCTCAGCCTCTCAACAGGGTATTGGTAGGGATTAAATGTGTTGGTACGTGTGAAGTGCTTAGAGCGGTGCTTGGCATAGTAAATGCTTAATGAATTTCAGCCACTGTTTTCATTATTATAGCACTTTCCAGCTCCCAAAAAAGATACTTTTTTATGACTTATATCAAGACAATAAAAAGTTTAATCAGCATGCTTCATACCTAAATTTGCTTCATTTTATAGCAAAGTTTACAAGACTAAAACTCTTCTGTTGTAATTCTCTGAGTCTCATTTGTTTATTCATTACGTTTCTCCTGCTCTTTAGTCATCTTAATTCTACTCATTCTTTAAGACCCAACTGCAGTTCTACTGCCTCTAGAAAGATTCTTGCCCATAATAATAAACCTGCCCTATCTGAGTTCCTAGATGGTCTGTACCTCACATTTTGGTAATTAATTGTATAAGCAATTATACACAAAGCATTATTGTGTGTCTTCGTTGCATCAGCTTCTAGGCTGGAAGCTGTGGATATGATGTTTTGTCTAGAAAAATGTTCTAGAATGCCCTACTCAGGATAGTCTGTTGACTTTAAAGACATATTTCCTGAATAGAAACTTCATCAGGCAGCCGCAGCCTGTTAACTGCATTCCTGGACCTGATGATCAAGTTTGATTTAAGGCTCGCCACTTACTAGCTATGTGATACTGGGCAAGGTACTTGAATTCTCTGTGCATAGATAGAACAATGTTGAGGGAAATCCCTTTCGCCCATCGTTGTGTTTCCACATGGGAACTTACTTCCTAATATGTAACACCTTCAGGGGACTATTCTAGGCTCTTTTCTTATCCCCATTACTTGTTCTTTCTGTGAAAAGAGGAGAGGTTAATCTGATTGATTAAACCCTTAGATCTGTCATCTGGACTGTGTAGCCTGTGGACCAAAGCAATGGACCACTTGCACTGAAATTAAGGCTGATCCTGTATTTTGATTCTTATTTGGCAACTTGTTTGTATTCTGTTCCCAATTCAGAATCCCAGTATTGTTCTTATCAGCTAGGAAAGCACTCTGACTAGGAAATCAACTCTAGGTAGGTATCCATAAATGGGTTATGACTTCTAACTTATTTGCCCAAGAGGCTCACCAGTGTGGAACTCTTCATGAGTACTTTGTCTTGCTTCATGAGCTATACATGCTAAGGGTTTGGCAGATTATATAATCTTTTGATCTACAAAATATGATCTTCATTGAAGAAAAACTTGGGCCAAAGCCTTTTCTCCTCTGCCACCTTCCTCCCCCTTTTCATTCTCTTTTTTGTGAATGTTCTTTGTGCATGCCAGTTACAGCATGTACCACATTGCACTGTGTTGTTGGTTTATGGGTCTAACCCACCTTTAACACCGCAGTTCCCAAGGGCAAAAATTCAGTATCATTCATTTTGGTGTCCTCAGTGCCTATTCTCAGAGAATGCCTATTATATGAACAAATAGTGCAAAAGTAAATTATAGGAGAAGACTAGATCACATTCATTTAAACTGCAAGTTTGACAAGTTGACATCCAAAAGAAAGGCTCTCCTAAATAACCTCGCCACAGAAATTTGGGTGACCTTTGTAGCCCTGGAGGAAGCAGAGGCAAAAATGAAACCTAAAAATTATTTGTGGGTTGTTAAGAATTTTTCTCATGGAGTAAACAAGGTCTATAGCTGGGTTCTTTTCAAGTGAGGGAATGACAGAAACACAGCTGGTTCTGACTTTCAGCTTCAACTGAGTGACTGGAGCTCTGCTGGTGAAACAGGAACTTGTATTTCTACCCCTGACATGCACCTTGGAGGTGTCAGCTCATTGTCCCTGTGTTCACATAAATATTTTCTTAAGAATTGATTTTGATCTTGTGAGCCTCTAACTAAATGATTAACCATGCAAAGTTGGCCATTTGGGGGTAATATTGAAGCTTTTCCCTTGAGGGCTATTGACAGGTGGGAATGTGCCCACCTCCATGGGTCTCTGGTTTTCTTGTCATACTTGAAGCTCAATGACAGTTTAAACTGGGGGTAATCACTTAATTAATCTATTGAGTTACCAAGTTAGTTATTCCCACTTTGCATGAAGCAACCTTGAAAATGATTTTCCTAAAGCAAAGTACATCCAAACTCAGTACCTTCTTAAGAACCTTTGCTGAATGAATAAATGAATAATTCACAAAAATATAACATATCTTTTATTCTTACTCAGAGGCAGTTTAAGCCTCTTGTGTAAGAGTAGGCCCAAACTTTAAATAACGTAGGATAGTAAGCCTGCTAGATAAATTTCTGTACGGAAACATGGTCTGCTATGAAGCTGGAAGTGAGAGGACATTATATCTGACCCAAAGAGGCTTCAGGGCTGCTGAGCATGGGGCCTGAAGTCAAGGTCCCTCTTTTCATTAAGAGGTAGTCCAGGAGTGCATGACACCCGTCAGACTACTGAGACCCAGATGAAACAAGGGCCTTACATAATCAAAATAGTTCTCTCTTTTTCTAAGTTCCAAATAACTAGTTTCCTAACCCAGCATCTGGATAGCAGTGCCAAACAGGAGTACCTTCACTGAACTTCCTCATGAGGTTATTTCTATCCTATTGGAATGTTTCATTTCAGAAGGGTGAGGAAGGGAACTCTTGGATTTGTGTACTTAGTTTAATGTTGTGGTGCAGCTTTGACCATCTGTTTAATGGGGGATCTGTTTTCCAGATGACTATACATGTGGAAATGAGAAGTTTTTTGAGTGTGTTTTTTTCCCCTTTAAAGAGTGGTTTTTCATTTAGTCTCTGCATTTGGGGTAAAAGGTCCTCTAGGGAGCCTTTTCAAAGTATTTGAAGTTTGCATCTGATTTTGGAGGTGAGTTGGAGGCCTGCCTGTATATGACAGACACAAGTTTCCAACAACTGTACATTCACAAGGACTGAGAGCCATCCTTCTGTGTCCATCATTCAACACTGATCTCACATTCGTGTTCATATCAGTATCGTTACAGTTTGCTCCCAGATATATCTCCCTAGTTTCCCTTAGTAGGTTTTACAGAATTTGCAGTGTATTCAGTGGCAGATGACCACATGTAGAGTCATTTAACTGCATCTTCCACTGCAACGCAGCCTGCTCTTGTTTTCTGTTTTTGCTTAGATTCCATCTTTTCGAAGATTTCATTCCTTGGCACTGTCTCAGTATCTCAGATACTTTTGGGACTTGGTCCTATTCCCCTCTTATGTTTGGCCATGGTCACCCCCTCAGTGTTGTGTTGTATCTCACGGCTGCCTTGTAGGATTGACCTTTACAGTTTATAAAGCTCCTTTCCATATGTTGACAATCCCTGGTGTGATACTGTGAGTTAGGCAAGGTGGGTATACGTGTCGTCCTCGTGTCACAGTGGTGAGGCAGCATGGTTTTTGAATTTGTTAACCCATGAATTTGTCTAATTTGTTGGTAAAAAATAGTTACATATCAGTTGTTTCATAGGGTCAGCTTAATATAAAGTGGGAGTTAGGCAGGACCAGAACTCAGGTCTTCAGCCCCCAAGTCCCAGGGACTGTTCTTCATACCGAATTATCCCACTTTGAATCAGTTTCTTCTAGGCAGATATCTCCAGAACTGAGATGGCACCCACCGGACTTCCTAATTGTAGTCACTACCAGGAAAACAAGCAAAAGAACTGGTGTAAATCTCTGGTTTTAGTGATTGGTGGAGATTTGGTGGAGATTGTTTCGTGCTAAAAGTAAAGCCACTAGATTAAATGTTTTTTTAAATCGATTATTCTTAATTATTTGATAGTTACTTTACATTATTCAAAAGTCAAAATAAAATTTAAAAGAAGTTTAGATTGAGAAGTCTTGCCACACTTGTACCTTGCTCACCCCAGTATCCCCCAATACATACCATCTATAAGGTGATCATTTGTATTAGTTTCTTGTGCATCCTTGATAATGTGTTTTATATAGATACAGGTAAATATGAATATGTACTATTATTTTCCCCATCTTTAAAACAAAAGATAGTAGCCATATATACACTATTCTATACCTTGTTTTTATCACTTACTAATATATTCGTGAGAGCTTTCCACTTTAGTATATGGGGAAATAACTTTACAGTTGCAAGGATTCTAAGTATGTGCTATAGTTTATCTACTTTTCTATAGTTGGAAATTGGAGCTATTTCTAGTATGTTTTGCATTTTATACTTTGTTGCAATTAATAGCCTTTTATATACATCATTTTGTACATATGCACCTATATCTGTCATTTATTCCGCTAAGTGGAATTGATGGGTCAGCAGGAAAAATCATTGATAATTTTGATATTGAATTGTTTGTACTCCCACCATTAGTGTATGAGAATACCTATTTCTCCATATCCTCATGAAACAGAGTGTGTGAGATGAGATAAGACACAGGAGGTAAACAGTCTTTTACCTAATCTGTAGTTTGCAGTGGGAACACTCCGCAGTTCAAGAGCGGTGCAGGTATCAGATTAGTTCCAGTGGAATCAGTGCCTCACCATGACCATGGGCTTGCACCAGCTCTAGTGACACACATGGTGGGAGTACAAACAATTCAAGCCCTTTGCAGTTTCTTGTGCATCCTTGATAATGAGTTCAAGAGATGTATCCCAAATCACAGGGATGTCTTGCTAAGCTTGGAACTTTCATACTCAATGGATGCTTTTCTGAGGAAAGATTTTGCAATGCCCCCAACATTTTTAAATAAGTAATTAGTACTTGATAAGATAAATTTAAACTGCTAAAGTACAATATAAACATTGAACTATGATGCAATATTGCTAGACTTCTTCCTTATAGTTGCCAAGTAGTTTCCTGCATTAGGCAAATAGGGGATCATATAAAAACTCCATGATTTATGGCCTAGATAACATCTTCACATTTTGAGAAGCACATATTCCAGGTCATCCTCACATAACTCCTTACCATTCTCATTCAAAAGGTTGATTCTCAGTCTTATTTTTCTCTAAGGACAGAAAAAAAAAATCCCCTTCATTTCCACTGCATAGAAAAGTGTGGTAAATGGAGCTGGGCACAGTGGTTATTCAATTTAAATGGACTTTTTTTTTATAGAATTTTGACAGGGCCACTTTACAGGGGAAAGCCACTCCTCTTCCCCTTTATAGAACAGTTGCACCTGGACAGTTGCATTGATGACTGTATCCGGTCGACACAAGAGGTCATTCCTGGGCATAAGAATGGACTGACAAAACCTAGCTAGCACACCATTGACAAATACACATTTTCTTTTGTTAATAATAGCTGTGAAGGCTTTCACAACAGGCATTTCCAGTTTTGTTCTCAGGCTCCTTGCAGCTGCTCCTCTAAAAGTCTCCTCTCTTCCCAGAGCTGACAATGACCAGAAGCAAGGTGTTCTGTCTTTTGTGCCATCATCATCTAACTTGCCACGTTTGGGATGTCAGCCCAGGTATCAGTTTTGTATCAACTCAGTATGGCTTGTGGGTCTGGTTGCCTTTGTTATTCATGCCGAGGGCTTCTGGGCATCAGTTTCATGTGAGAACCCATTCCATGACCCTTCTTCTTTTGGCTGTTTTGAGTAGATGGCTCTTGTTGGCACAGTCTGTGAATGTCTGATGCTCTATCCATGCCAGACCACCTGTTCTGCTATCTCTGTGGTCTGAACTAATTGTCTGAACTACTCCTTGATAATCAATTTGAGATTATCTCGCTCTACCTTTGTTTTCAAGTCACATCTCAGCCCCTCAGCCACATTCCCGAAGAACATGACAAATGGATGGGTCACAAGTTACGTAGCACAGGGTATCAGACCACCAGGTTTTGAAGGGATTCTGTTTGGGTGCCAAAAAGATTTTATGTCACCATGATTTTTGTTAATGGCCTGTTGACACTTAGGCCTTAATTGAAAGCATTCTTACTCAAGTAGAGTTGACAGAGGAGTATTTGGTAGTTGTGGTTGCTGGTCTGAAAAGCATGTGGCTCTGTTTCAATACTCAAAGAGATCTTCTCAGGGGAAAAAGTTCTGACATCTCAAACAAATGGCCTTCATGCATAGTTTTGACACAATGCCCTATTAAGTATGGGTGTACGGTCGGTACCTTGTGGTAATAATTCAATATGGGGAACAGAGTAGCAACAAAGAAACATTGGGGTTATATTTAACCTCTGTGGAATTAGTGTATAAACAAACTGCTTATCAGAAATGATCATATGGGGCTTTGTTTAAATAAATAAGAAACTGGCACACAGGGTCTGCAGGATATCTCTGCCAAGCAGACCACCCTCACATTATAAGACACTACATCCATGTCTGACCCCATATGGAAAGAGGCATAGCAAGCCAGCACTGGTTCGTATTCCCTGTCCACCACATAATGGGTTTGTGATCTTAGGGAATCCACCACAATGCTCTGAAACTCTGTTTCCTCAGCTATAAACGGTGGATAATCAAATGATCTACCTCACCATTAATAAATGTTAGCTATTTTTAAAATCAAGTTTAATACAAAGAGAAACATTTTGTTTTTCCAGCTGCCTAGAGCATCTTCCAAAATCCTATCACCAACAAATAATATATGGTGTTTATTATAGCAACTGTGTATAAATGGAGTCCCTGTCCTATGCTTAGATGAAATATGTTGGCATTTGAGTTTGCATGTCTTCTATAGGAATCAGTGTTTAGTGAAAATGGGTGGAGACAAACAGATGTTCTCACAGTTCTGTTATTCACAGTACTGCCAAATTGAATGTTTCCATATAGGTGCATTCTAATGGCTAAAATGATGTGGATATTTTCTGGCCAGCCATATGGATCTTTTGTCATCTAAGATGTTAATATTTTCCTTATATTTTATAGTAGTTCTGGAGGACAGCCAGCTTCTTGAATAGGGTCCACATGGCTCATTATGCACAGGGCCTGGAAACTGCCTTATGCATGCTGTTGAGATGAACAGTGACACTTCAGAAGAGCTGGGAGCTGGGGTAGGGCAGTGGCTAGGAGAACATATTCAATTATTTCTCCACTTGCATTAAGCTACAAGTAATGAGCACTTTCCTGTGCTTTACAGTAAGTAATTAAAAGAAATTATAGAGTTGGATACAAAAATAACCAGAAGGACAACTGGATGTGTGGAGCCACCAGTTTTCTCCATGAGCACACAAGGTTAATCCTTGTTACTGCTCAGAATGCTGAGTTTCTATAGAAAGGGTTGCAGGTCCACACATGTTTTGGCATCTACCCACACACTTCTGTATGGCATGACTGTGCATCCCAGAAGAAGGGCTGTGCTGTGTGCCTCCGCGTTTCAGTGGAATTTAACAAACAGATCCCTGAAAATGGTTTCATAAAGGTGAGTAACAGAGCTAATAGCCTTCTCTCACTAATTTTATCTTTCCCCCAAGATTTCTTGATAATAATTTGAAAAGGAGTGTTATTCTTTGGTCTCTAGAGGCAACTTACCTTTCCAGTTTCTTCCCTCACCTGTTTTCACCTCTCTTGCTTTTTTTAAATTTAATGTTCTATGTATTTCAGAAGGTAGGATCTAACCTAGTGAGGTCCCTTCATCAGGTGATAATTATTCATCTCATTTTCATTTTGGCCCTCTGAATTAATGACATTGAAGCCTGCCGTTTGATCCTAAGATGGGTTTAATTATGTACAGATACTCTTTCTATAATGGAAATTGCTCAGGTAACTAATTAACCACAAGAATACACTGACTATGGAAAATTTCAGAAGCACCGTCTGTGGAAAAACTGGGAAGGGCATGCTGTCACCACAGCTCTGGGGTCTATTAAAAGTGTGGTTATGCAGCACTGGTGTCTAGTGGGGCGTTGGCTCTCAACTGTCAGAATTCCTATAGCATTTCATGGCAGAGAGTCAAGATGTCCAGCAATACTCTGAAAGCAACCTGTTGATTAAAGTTGTTAATTCTGAAGAAAGTGATTGAAATAAGACAAATGGGCCTTAACTTTCTTTCTCTTTCTCCCTTTTGTAAAAAAGTGTGATTGTTCTGGCATGTTCCCAATCCTCACATAATGCCAACATCTTTTCTTAAAGGGGGATTCCCTTTATCCTTGGGTCTGACAGTTATTGCTTCTTCTCCCCTTAAGGACAATGAATGCAGTTGTATCACCTTTGCTCACTCTTTCTTTCTTTCTTTCTTCTTTCTTTCTTGCTTTCTTGCTTTCTTTCCTTTCTTTCTTTCTTTCTTTCTTTCTTTCTTTCTTTCTTTCTTTCTTTCTTTTCTTTTCTTTCTTTCTTTCTTTCTTTCTTTCTTTCTTTCTTTCTTTCTTTCTTTCTTTC